AAAACTAATAATTTGATTTAATTATCATTTCTTTCTACCAAGTATATATTTAGATAATGTAAGTAAATGTTTAGTTGGCACTATTTAAATATTTATTAAAATTACAGGGTTGTCACAAATTCGTCATCCTAAAAGTCTAACTTTTCCCTGATTTCTAGGTAAAATAATTTTCATAATTTTCTCTGATACTTTTAATATTAAAAAACTTTTGTATTTAGAATTTGCATTCTGAATTGGAAATCGTCAAATATTTTATTGCGAGAGCAATTTAACAATGTTAATTACTATTACTGTTGCTGCATTTGTACTGCTTGCATTTAATTATTAAGTCCAAAGTCCAAAATTGCGTAGATGTAATGTGTAAATATTAAACCTTTTAAAAGCCAAAAATTTAGTTTTCCATAAAATTTTACAAAAATCCCTGAACTCTCTTCTTATTTCAATTTCCTCGACATTTCCCTGATTTCTCCGATCTTTTGTGACAACCCTGATTTAGTATATTTTTTTCTCGGTGTACAGCTGTACAGTTATAAGGCTATAAAATTGTTGGTGATACATTATTCACGCATAACTTTGCACTTTTGGCTCCACTCACGCCAGAGATGTGTGTGAATTTTCGAATGTTTACGTAAGTCATCTGATATCTCTCGAATGGACGCGAGATAATAACTCGATATACAAGTTTATTTTTCAAAGCCGAAGATAATCTAGACGTAAAAGCGGCAAGACTATAACGGATCTCATCCTGCAGCGTTCGATTCTGCCGAATCCTCTTCTCCCTTTCGCGAGGCCGAAACTCCACCTTCGGTGAAGAGCGATCGGGGGAAGCCGAACCGACCGTGCACCGCGGGCGTCACCTTGAATTTTTTTTTTAGGTAGACATCCAAAACAGCTGAGTTCAACGAACGGCTGAGACGACGCCCCCGTTGTTTTGACACGGCTCGCTCCGGGGGAGAGGAGAAAAAGATGCACACACTTCTCCCGACTGCGTAGCCATAAAAGCTCAAGAGGCTTAAACGCGCTCGGCTGGACCTGGCAGCGAGCTCCCGCAACTTGCAATTTATTTATCAAACAGCTCGGTAATCGATTGCGATTTTGAACCCATTCCATCTGGCTGTGGCACGTCGAAAACAAAGAGATCATAATCGCGACGTATGTTTAAAAAGTCTTAAGCTTAAAATCGCAATACTATTTTGCTCTCTTACATAACAAATATTTAGAAGATGTTATTTCGCCGATTCCTAACGCGAGTATAAATAAAGCAGACTTTTCTGTTATTCTTACAGTCGGTTACAATATACTGTTAAATTTATAATGTCGAGTTGTATCTAATTGGAGTTATTATTCTTATAGGTTGTCACAATCCTCCTATACTCAATATGTTGTTAATTTAACGTGGAATTCTTATGTAGTGGAGTTAAACAATTTAACTGAAGAAATATATTAACTTGACTCAGATTAGTTATTATTTATTAAGTACATACATACATTAAGATGAACTTAACGTTTACTGTTCGTTTTGGGAACTGAGCAATTTAAACAAAGAAATGGATCAATTAGACATGCTTGTCTTTTTAACCATATGTTTAATGTTAGAATAATACATTTTAGCACACTTGGAAATAAAAATAGCGTATATTACTTAACTCGAGGAATTGATTTGATATTTTAATATCAAACAGTGTTGTTTCGTAAAATACCGTCTCGAATGTATGTTAATATTATCAAAGCGCAATATTCTTTATCACGTCCTAAAAAGAAACTCGCTTTCAAGTCGATCAAAGTAAACTGCCGATAATATAAACTGTTTAATCTAATAAATTCAGAATAAATTCATTCTCTAAATAAGTACTCGTTTAATCAAATCTTGTTTTCTTTTTTGAAATAATTCATTCCATTACGTGAACGCGATATGAAAAATTAAATGTAAATTTTGAAACACCCGAGAACAGGTACGTGTTTCAATAATTTTCAGGTGTCAGCAAATAAAGTCAACTTGAAACACTTATAAAATTTATTCTACATACTAATCATTCCTGTTACATAAGTAAGAAGCATACAAGGGCCGTTTACAAGGATAGTACTTCTCTATTGAGAACAAAAGAGAAGAAACGAGCTTTGTTTGATCGTCGTTACAGTACAAATGTTCTAGTTTTTTTTTTTCAAAAGCCGCTATTAAATTCAATTCTCAACGTAACACAAAAAAGAATCGGAGTGTAAGCATTGGAGCCGTTGACGCAAGTACGTTTCACATTCTTCTCACGCTAGAAAAGTGCTATCGTAGGGGTAGAAGGGTTAATAAAATGCACTCTCTCTCTCTTTCTCTCTCTCTCTCCCCCCGCCTCTCTCGTTCATTTCTCTACTCGTCATATATTATAAAATCCAGTCGAGAAACCAAAGCCGAAGGAGGGCACTGTCGAGGGGACAAATAACAATCAGCCGTCAGGCTAGAGCGACGAGCGGACAAAGATACCCCCTCCTAAGTGTCACGAACAGCTGGAACGTGACGCTGCGGCAGGTCTGGAAGTGTTCAAGGAACTTGACGCTACCGTCCGTATTAGTCAAACGTTTCGAGAGATACGTCATTTCTTTTTTCTTTGCATCATCAATTATATATATTATTACGGTAACAAAGCCTCTATATAGAAAAGATCGTCCAGAGGAACGGGACACAAAGAGAAAGTCTCCCGTGCTGATTATCTCTCTCTCTCTCTCCAGGAGGTTTATCGAAAACTCGTCCGAATGAAGGAAGACGGAATATATATATGCGTGCGCTTCGGAATTCGGAAGAATTCGAGAGAGCTTTTGGCACTCGAATGACGAAATCCGTCGCACGGAAAGGCGACGCGAGGGCGAAGGAGCGTGCGGTGTTGATTGGCATAAATTCCGCGAACGATACCGTCTCAGCCTTGATCGAGGCACTAGCACGTCACAAAGTACCTCGGATGAGCGTCATTATTTTGTCCACGAATACGGCTTCTCGCGGCGATGCAGAACTGCGCGTTCTGCGCGATCGAGGGCGAGGGTAATCGGCGATGATTTCGCGAGGAAAACGCTTTCTCTTAGGAGAGCGCCCTCGCTCGTGTCGTGAAACGGGAATGGGGACGAACGGGTGAAACAACGAGCGCGCTGTCACACGCGCGCGAGAGGGAGAGAGAGAGAGAGGGAGAGAGAGAGAGAGAGAGAGAGAAAGAGAGAGAGAGAGAACAGATGGGAGAATCGCGCGACAACGACAACGGTAACGGGGAGACAACAAAGACGACAACGATGACAATGAGGTGAAATTTGTTCAAGCTCGTTTACCGATTCGTAGCGCTCACGCGAGTCTGCTCACGATCCCACCGACGAGCCTGGAGTCGTTCCCGTGGGTCAAATGATCCCGTCGACGGGCCCCATGGCAGCCGACCGTCGGCGCAGCGTCGCGTGGATGACGATGACAACAACGACAGCCGATATCCTCCTTCTCTTCCACGCGGAGGGACGCGCTACTCTAGGCGGCCTGCTGCGACGCGAAACGCCAAACGAGAGAAAACGCTCGGAAACACGTATTACAACGGAGCGGCCGAGGAAGGGGAAGAACTGAGAAGTATACGGCGGCCCGAATACTGCGGCGCACGCGACCCGCTCGATGGTCTGTTGCCAACTGGCCTGACCCCACGACGATTGTACGAGACTAGACGCGCAGAGACCCCGCCGCGCGCGTCAGCGGCGTGCGGTATCGGTTGCGGATGCGCAACTGATCCGCGAGCTGCCAACCTATCGGCGGCGCTCCGGAACCTCTCTCTCTCTTTCTGGAAAGTGGGAACCCGTGTGGCCGCGTGTCACGGCGTCACGCCGCCGCTCTCTTCGCGGACGTGGTTACACGGACGAATATTCCCCGTTAGAATTACAGAGCATAATCGAGGAGCAGAATCGAGTACCATCAGCTGATACGATACCCTCGGAAACCGGAGCTGCGCTCCCGGAGCGAGCCAACTGCGCTACATCCGAGAGGGACAGACAGAGAGGAGGGGGAGCTCGCACAGTTGGAACTGACCTGGACAATCGATTGCAGGGTCCACTAGTTTCGATGTTGTATATTATTGAATTTCTCGTTACATAATATTATTCAAATAGCAGATAATTTAATTATAATGTAACGTGCATATCATTAAAAACTCATATTTTATGTTAAATAACTTTTACCCACAATTTGTCGCGTCTAACCTAACTTAACCTATCGACCTGATGATCATGCGCCTCGCAAAAAGTAATTTTAATAATTATTATATCAAATTTTTTTCACGTAATTTCTTTGTGATTTGAGGTAAGATTAAATAAGTAGCACACATGTTCCAGCAGACGTTTGCGATCGATGGGGTATGCAGTCTCGAAAAAATTACATCACGATGTAATCTTACCAAATCTTGAGGAATAAGACTATAAATTGACAGATACATGAACATTGAGAAAAACAAGGAAGATTTCGGATAGAGAGAGAGGTCGAGAGCGAAATTCGAAATTGCGTGAAAATTAAGCAGAAATGACGCGACTTAACCTTATTTAGGTCACGTCACGCTGACCGTCACGCCGCGCCGCGGCTCGTCGCGGCACTCGTTGGAACTACTTTAGCACGGTGAACGCCGATTGGCCGAGCCGGGGCGGCCATCGCAGCGCCGCGGATGCGCGCGACCACCGCGGACCGCGTTTAATTTCTGACGAATTTATCGGCTGCGTGGGAACCGCGGAGAAAAATTGACGGAAGACGGACGATGCGTCGCACGTCGGCACGCGGGCGGGCACGGGCGCGTCGGTCCGGCGCACGGCGATTACCGTCCGCGCGTTTCTCCGACGTGAACGTTTCTCCGCGTCGGGGAAACGCGGCGCGCGACCGCGAGGAGCGGCGGCGCCGCGGCCTCCCGTCGCGGCGCCCCGCGGATTTTTCCTGGACCCGCGCGCGAGATTTTATTCTGCGCATGGAAAGCAATTTTGCCCAATCATAAATAGGGCTATTGTGGGGGGATGGTTGTATGCCCGTGGCGCATTTCATACATCCGAGTGTAATGGTAACCAGATAGAAAGGCGCCGCGCGCGGGGACCATCGGCCGGCGTTAACACCCGGTAAATACCAAAAATTCAAGTCCGTACGTCGTGAAAACGGGGGCCGTCGCGTCACGCGAAAAATCCTCGCGATTACACGCGGTCATCCGCGTCTCAAAGTCCTCTCCCAGGTCCACGTTAACAGAGATATTCACGTTCCCGCCTTCTCTCCTTATTGCCGTCTCCGCGATCTCTCGTTCTTCCCGCATCTCGCTTCGCTACACGTCTCTCTCTCTCTCTCTCTCTCTCTCTTTTTCTCGTCACCCCCGTAGGGAATTGCCCCCTTTTTTTTCTCTTTCTCTTTCACGCGGCGTGACGTGCCGAACGTGACGTGTGTCGACGGTGTGCACAGTGGTGTATGCGAGTGTGAGATACGGCTCCCCGACCTTACGCCACGTCGCGTAGCCGTGGAGATTGCGGATATAGCCGTGTCTGTCTGTGCGTGTGCGTGCGTGCGCGAGCGCGCGCGCGCGTGCTCGGCCAAGTGATCTGTGACGTCAGTGGTCCGATCGGTTGTCACCTGTCAAGCCGATGCCGACGGGTCCCTCCCTCCCTCCTCACCCTGCCACCTCGTTACCTCTCCCTCTTCCCCTTCCTTCGTCCTCCTATCCCCGTCTCGCTCTTTCTCCGACTATCTCTGTCGCCACCCTCTCGATGCAACCCGCGGATGCAATCCGATCCGCGCCGTTTCTCTCTCCCTCCCGCTTCCATTCTCGCGCAAAGTCCCCTCTCTCGGTTTAACCCACGCGATCGTCCTCCTCCTCTCTTCCACTCTTTACTCCGCTTCAGCTTCCCTCCTCGCCCTTTCCCTCGCAGGGATTTTCTCCCTTCTTCCGCACCCACCCTCGCTCGTTTCCTCCTCTGCATTGTACCAGCTTCCATCCTCAACCCTCTCTCGTCTCATCTCTTTTCCGCGGCTGTGGCAATGGCGTGATCTCGAATCGGCCCTTTTTTTTTTTTTTTTCGCGATCGGTCTCCGATTCCTCAATACCGCAGAAATCACGTCGCACTCGACGAGTCGACGACACCTCTCTCGTCGCTTAGCGACGATCTAGCCGAGCGATAGTTTTAAACAGGAGCAATTAAGGGATGGTTCCAAAATTTCCAGCACCAACTACGCACATGCGGTGGTCGTCGAAATTTTTCGGTTTTTCCTGTCCCACGTTGGCTACGCCACTGATCGGAATCGCGCGTATCCTATCCCTTTTCCCTTTCTCTTCTCTCTCTCTTTCTCCCTTCACGTTCCCTTGCGATTCTCTCCCGCCACCCCTTTCCACCCTTCCCAGCAGCAGCAGCAGCTTATTCACCCTGGTCGCCTCTCTGCCGGCCCGAAAACCGAAGCCTCGGCTTCGAAGCTCGAGCGCGGCGACCACCACCACTATCACTACCACCACCACCACCATTACTACTACTACTACTAATACTACTACACCACCACCACCACCACCACCACCAACAGCAGCGGCGGCAGCAGCACCACCAGCATCAGCCGTACCACCAGCAGCAGCACTACACCGGCACCGGCAACCCCACCCCATTCACCATTCGCCCATCCACCCCTCGATATAACCCCGCTCCATCCGCCGCGACGACCGCAGACACAAAAACAATAACAAATCGATTCGCGGCAACGATGGGGGCAGGGAGGAGGGTGAAGGGGTCAGCGCGAGGGGTAGGACGACTGCTGAGGCCCCCGGCACAATGCGAGGGAGAGGGCAAGCGCGCGCGAGAGAGAGAAAGAGAGAAAGGGCGAAGCCGCCGCGGGGGGTGACGAGGAGGAGAACGTCCTCCCCTCGGCGGTCCTCCTCCTCCTCCTCCCCCCCCCGTCCCCCTATATCTCTTTCCCTCTTTCTGGATATTGTATAGAGAACGTTATGCTAAAGTATGCATGCACGAGGGTCGGTCCAATGGTCAGGAATCTCGCGAGTTCGTTCGCTCTACAGCGGCACGTATCCGGACCCGGTACGCGGGATTTCTTCTCGCCTCCAGTACTCGCGAATCTCGACGTCACGTCCTTTTTCGCGTTCTCGTTATTCCCATCGTCATCGGTCATCTCATCGTCTCTTACATCGTCAACGTAACCGTCATGAGTGTAGCGTGGGAGGCGATGCTGAGCCGCTACGAGCGTGAACTTTCATCATTCGATCGGTAAGGTGGAGATCGGCCCGGCCCGGCCTTGCGGCGGACGAGAGGGAGCACTAGCGGGGGATGATTCCAGCGTAATGACGATCGGCCCGAATTGTTGCGGTAGGCCACCATAGGGGCGCCCCTCCTATCCAAAGAGAAGGGGGAACCTCCTTGCGATTTTCGTGCGACCGTCCCTCTTCTTTGAGACGCGATCTTTTTTGCCAATCTCTTGCGGCACCACGGCACTTGCGGCACTCTCATTTCGACTTTCATTCTTCTCCATTTTTAACCGATCATCTATCTTATTGTTGCACCCCCTTGAAATGTTATATATATATATACGTACATGTGAAAAGATTTAATGTGAAGAAAATTAATTAACTGTCAATATAGAAAAATAGCTTGCAGGATAGATAGGGATTGAGGATAGAGAATGAACAGTCGACTTCCTGTGTCAGAATTTAGTATCTTGATATAATCTAAAGGGATGGTTCTAATCACTAAATCTCTGATAAACCCACGTGGACTAGATGTCTTTGTTTGCCTAACTCGAAACTGGAGGGAGTTTGTCTAACTCGAGAGTTCTCTCGGAAATAATCCTGAAAGAGTTCCCTATTTCGTAACATCGGATACTTGGATGCTCCTTTCACGTGAAATCTTCCTTCTTCCAACCGATATGTTATATAAATTACAAATATATCTAGCTAAGAGCTTTATCTTTGCCCTCGTTCTATCAGGATAGACATAGCTTATAATAACTCCACGAATAAAATGATCCACGAGAGATGAAGAACATATATATAAATCCGCGAGTTTCATATTTTCTGAAATAGGAGATCAAACGTTAAGCAAATCTGGATGATTTGAGTAGTATAGCTCCGCATGGAAACAACCTTTCGAAAATGTAATTATAGCATCTCAGTCGCAATAAGGAACGATATGAAATATTTTAAAACGAGATCGAAGAGCCGGGTACGGAACATTCCGACTTGCGTTCGAGGATCACTTTTGAAAGGGTGCTAAGAGAGGAAAATTGAGTTTCCGAGGAGAAAGAGAATTTTAGAGAGATAATCTTTCCGCATGACACTTTTCCCGCATCGTTATCTCCATTTCGAGCACGCTTCGAGACGTTTGACCTCGTAACTCTATAGATCGAATTACTGCCGATACTCTATTGCCCAACTCCTCTTGCTGTATTTCTCGATGTATCCTTTACAGTCGCGGTACTGGAGAGAATAACTGTAAAATACGAAACACATATTTAGAGGAATACATTGACAAAGTGATCTATTATTTGCAAATAGACACTTAATTGGTGCACATCGATTGATACGCGTGTTTAAACATTTCTTAACGATTTAATTAAATTCACGCAGATCGGTAGAAAACGTTAGCTATAAATAAAATGATTTTATACATAAGTAACAAATATACTCGGCTCGCTTGAAAAATTGCTACGTAAGTATTGATTCGAGGGCCACCACTAATCTCTCTCTCTTCTCTCTCTCCCTACCCTTCACCCTTTTTATACCGTGCAATCCATACAAACATAATGAGACTCGAGCACCACGTTTCCAAGTGATTCAATCTTTATTAGGTTCAAGATATATTTCTAAGTTTATATTCGACATATGTGATAGCTGACGTTATTACTGATTTCATAAATATATCAAATACTAGGGCAAAAGTTGAAGACTTTTAGATATCAGATTTACTTTATACAACAAATTATGGGTAAAAAACTGAACCTCGAAAGATGAATTTATCACCAATTCTCGATATAGCGATCGATTCTACCGAAAAGATACATGTAAAATTTGTATATGTATAGTGAATAAAAATAGTATTTGCACATTTATCTATTTTGAGAGTTATTCTATCCGAAAAAAGGCATCGCTGCATGTTTTTATCAAAAAGCATGCCTTTTATGTGCATATTAGTTATACAGCACTTTGTGCAGCAACATTCTTTTTCATATTATCTCGAAGGAATGTATGTACGTGTTTGTGTGCGAATACTTTTTTTACTCACTGCAAATGGATTTAGATGCAATTTTGTACGTTGAACCGATTCGGTGGATCCCATCAACGGGCGATCGTAACGCAAATTCTAGATGGAATATGGGATCTGGAGTCTTCACGTCGCGGGTGAACTTTGGGGTGACCCGCGTCTCGCCCGAAGGCATCCAATTCTGCCTTCCGGCGCGACGCAGATCCTGCCAAGGGCCGCGTTCGCCCTGAGCGCACTGCACCGGCCCGATATGCTGCCACTGCCGTTGACGGCGGCGGGGCCACCTTACGTTCCGATAGAACTGGTCACGAAACCAGCCTCGGTCACATCCACCAATGTCGAAGACGCTGAGGATGGGGAGAAGAGCACGAACGGCGAAGATGAAGATCCTCAGCAGCGCGGTGACAACGAAGGAAACATCGAAAAGGCTGATCAAAATGAAAATCAGGTAAGACCATCTCATTATATAAAACAATATTAAATTTATTACTCTTAAGTATTTAAACAGCTGATAGTCGTTAAATTAATTCTTTATCCCTACTGGACAGAAAAGGAAGTGTTAATATAAAAATAATTTATAATTTTCAAAAATATTGGCAAATCATTTTGAATGAAATTGTTGTAAAATTTCTTGTCAAAGAAATAGAAATTTAAATTTTTTTTATCAGTTTTCATGTAAATTAATGCTTAAAATACTCTTTAATTATAAATTACAAGAACACAGGCTATCTTATTTTTCACATGTACCAATCAGACTTACGTGCCAAACGAAAATAATGACAACGAAGACGCTGGTGACGAGAGCGATACTGGTAGCACGAACAGTTCACATCAATCGGCAAACAACAATCTATCAATCGCGAAGCTTCCCGATCCGATGTCATGCCTGGCTCTCGACAAGGTCGGTCTGTGATATACATTTTTCGATGTATGAACGTTTAATTAGTTGGCATGTATGTATCTGAAACCGGTACATTGATGATTTTTTAACGATATAATTATACACGGATTTTTTAGTTAATGTTATATTAATATATGTTATATTAATATTTTATATTAATATTTTATCATTAATCAATTAAAATAAATAATAAAGATAAAGTAAAATACGAGAGTCGGTAATAAATAGTAATTAAAAGAACTTACGTGTAAATAAATTACAATTTAATATTATAATAGAATATAATTAAATAAATTTTAATATAAAAGTGTATACGTAACATGTGTTTCGGCTCCTGGCTTGAGTCTTCATTAGATGTACAAGAAAGAAATTTATTACATCATAGTGACAATAAAATTGTATATGTACTTCTGTAGTGCGATGTCCATTGAGTGACTCACCAAAAAAAAAAAAACGAACTCACTCACAAAGGATTGACAAATCAAATGTTGATAAACTAAAATAAAATCAAGGCCAATAAACGAGCAACTATATTTTTCTTTTTTTTTTATTTGACCGAAACTAAACTAATACATTTTTAAATATTATAACGTTAACTTTATAACATAGTCTCTTACGTTTTTTTTTTGTTATTTGGTTGTTATTATTTTGTTTTAATTATTAATTCCAATTAATCTCATAGCTTTGTAATCTAGTCCAATCGATTTTATTGTTTAATATATAATATATATATTGTAAAGATGACTAAATAAATCGAAACGTCTCGTCATTATACTATTGACTTTAATTAATTTGACATGTGTCGTTTACTAGCTTCATGTGGTTTATTGATCTTAATTTTATTTTTAGTTGCTTAAGCTTACATTAACTTATTTTATTTCATTTTTATCATTTATATTCAGGAAGGAACGGTGACACCTGTTCTGAATGGTTGGGTACTGGGTGCTTACACGGCGATGTTAGGCAGACTATCTGCCGCTACTGCAGCTCTAGAAGCAACAGAAGTTCCCAATGTTCCCTCCGACAGTGATTCCGAGAGCGAGCACTCATCCTACACTGAAAAGTGCGTAGAATTTAGCATCAATCCATAATTATAATTCTTCACCTTTCTTAAAGATCATTTTCTCTAAAAACGACTCAATTTCAAGTTTTCAAAATTTACTATTAAAATTAAGACTACGACATCATGAGACATTATCATCATTATTATGTCAATATTGGTGATGCAATATCACATATGGTTTAAGATCGAGAGGTAGCAGTCCGAACGTAAACAGCATTCGTGGCTATTCGTGCGGCTCCTGCGATGTGGTGGCACCGACGAGACCGGCCTTAAGGAAACATATAGCTGATTGCCATCCCGCTTTATCCGGTACGGAGACCGGGGAAACCAAGAGGTGTCCGTCCACGGGCTGTGACTTCACAACGACCAGTAGATGCGAGATGGAAACCCACGTAGCGGCACATGTAGCCCAAGGGATGACGCCTACGGGGAAGAAACGTTCGCTGGCCTTGCAACGCGTCAGGTATAGGTACTCGAACAATTTCATATAACTAATTATATCTAAGTTGTTTTATTGAAAAAAAAAAAAACTTTCTCTTTAAATCTTATTTTTATTGTAAAACTCTTGTCAGAGAATAAAAGGAATATAAAAGAGTAATATTTTTTTCTTTTTTTTTTTCCGAATATATTCACTTCTTTTTCAGCTATTGTTTCGGAATGTTTTCAGGTACGAAAGGGAGGAATATCGGTGCTCACTTTGCTCGTATGCATGCACGATCGAGAAGGCATTTCAAAGACATCTGCGAGCGCATGCGAGAGGCAGCGCGCCGGAGACTAGGGTGAGCTGCGCCGTCTGTGGTGCCGACCGATCGTCCGAGGTCGATCTCAGCAGACACATGCGAAGGCACCGCGATGATCGATATTTCTGCTGCGATATTTGCATTTTCCGCACGGTGCAATTGAAGAAGGTAAGAGTGAATCTGGAGAGTAAAATTTCATTCTTAAAGATTGGAAATTGAACTATTCTTTTTCAAAATATTAATTCAATTTTTCACTCTTTAAAGTGAGATTTCACCTCCTAAAATTTAGAATACGCATATCAAGATAAAAATGAAGAAAATTGACGATGTTAATTGTATGTCGTATTTCTAATACTTTACAGCTGATACAGCATCGTCGCATGCACACGGGTGAGAAGCCGCATTTGTGTCCGCACTGCGCTTATCGCAGCGCACGTCGCGACAATCTACGCAGTCACGTAAGGCGAGTACACAAAAAGGAGAACCTCTATTGCGACACCTTCAGCCCGCGCGGCATGCTGATAACTCCCTCACTGTTGGCCTCCTCGAGGGATACTACTGACGTCGACCTGATGCAGAGCCCGGCATCTTCGCCCTCTTCAAATCCGGACGCGACCAACTAGCGAAAACGTTCTCGAAGAACAAAGAAAATGCAGAAACAGAAATCTGGGACTCGCCTGTCCTTTATACGTCCTCGTTTTGTCAATACTGCGATCTAGATATATTAGAATTTACAGGAAGACTTGTACACAAGTGCTGAACTTGGCAGACAAACGAAAGAGAATTGCAATCAAGTGGGAATTAAAGCTAAGTTCAATAAAAATTGAGAATTATCTATAATTTCACGAAGAAAGCAACTTAAGAGATAAACTAGAAACAGAGATTAAAAATAATTTACGAAATTGACATTGATAAAGTCATATTGACACAAATAAAGTCTATCGGGAAAAATAAATTTCAAAATGAATTGTTTCCCAAATCAGCATCGACAAGGCTTCCTCCTTTAGACGTTAGGAAGCGTATAGATTATTGCATGCGATAATTTAACGTCGGTAATTTACCTTTGAATTCTAACGAGATCTTGTATTAGCTATGTAAACGTCCAAGTGTTTCGATGAAGTATACGATCGGTAGATCGCCCGTTCGCGTCGATTATTGACAACGAGCGGGGAAAGCTGCAAAATGGTGCTAGAATCGTAGATTGGCTCGCGGAGAAAGACTGAAAGTAGAAACGAATTCACGGTGCGATGTGACGTCCATCTCTTTTACGCTCTTTCCGTACTGACCGCCGTGACTAAAAAAAAAAAAAAAAAGAAAAAGAAATTTCAATTCAGCAAAGTTTAAGACTGCAACTCTGTACTGTTCCGGGGATTCTCGTCTTAAACGTGACTCTTTATTGTTACTCATTAACTACTGGCCATTAATTAATTATTAATGTCTTTTAATTTTTATAGAATTTGCTGCAATTTTAATTTTTCTAATTTATCTATAATCTCGATTTTATTTTGTGTCGATACCTGCTTTAAGCTTTAAGTATTCAAATCCGAGATGAAAATTTTACTTTTTGGTATCATATAGGAGCACACGATCAATATATTTGTGCACTTGAATAGAATTGAGCAAGAGCTCGTGATCTCGCGTGTATATTAAGGCGGATGCACGAGACTCGATCGAATCAGGCCACCGGTTAATGAGATCAATAAAGCACCGGGTCATGACACGACATGTCGCGAGGACCCCGGCCGGGATGGAAAGGTGCTATTTTACGAAGATTCGTTTTAACGTTACGTGTCTAGTATATATATAGTTCGCTCGCGCTGCACGAATCGTCACTACAAGTATAATTGTTAAGTACTTAACACGAACACATTGTTATCGTTGCTTGAGTTGCCATTATCGAATCTTCATTGGTACTATTACGGACTAATAATACAAGAACAATATACTATTATGATTATGCAAGCATTATAATGATAGACAATGTATCGTATAACGCAGGATGAGGTCTAACGTGTTTTATTTTACAAATTATGATGATCCAAGACATCTCTATAGAATTCTTACATCATTGTAATCACATTTTCCGTTATACAATCTTTAAACTATATTAAAATTCTATATTCGCTCTACATAATGTATATTACATTTAAAAAAAAGGGTATAATTGTCATGTTCTGTAAAATTTAAACTCGTTGGATGTATCTGTTCGCTATCGATACAAATGTCTCGCATACGTTTCTCTCTTTAGGATCCAAGACCATTCCCGACGATCGATCACTCGTATGAGAAAAAGCGAATGAGATCGATTGTAACAGAAATATGTGTCAATTTTTAATGTATCATACAAATATGTTGTAGTCGATAAACGATTTTTAACGGCGTGAAGTGGCACGAGAGGATTCGTGCATCACGCCACGATAATTTGTCGTCTCATCGAGAATGACATTCTTGCGGAGAATATCGTTCTACTACATAGACACTATAGCCATTACTATACGACACTATGCTAAACTACAAGGTATACGATGATGCGAAATCGAAGCTGCTCGGCATAAAGTTTCACTTCCCCGGCACATTTTAACGCTTCAAACACATTGCATTTATCGAACATTAAGTTTTTTTTTTTCCAAACTGTACTCGTTACTGCAACTGAATTTTTTCAACTCATTACGCGTTATCATTGTCGGTATTATCTTCGCTAGAAGTATCGCGAGTAACGTAGGTCATTCCGTGCCAAGTAGCATAAATTTTGAAATAAGCCACAATTACGAGAGCGAATGTGATTTAGATTTTAATTAATTATATTACATAATTATATGTATATATATATTAAATATTAAATTATATTTTATCTTTTAGGTATACGGATGACTACTATAGTAGCCAAGATGATTACGATTATGCGTAGAAGTTGGTGAAAAAACATTTATTCCCCGGATTACATATAATGATGTAAGCCCGTTCATTCGAAAGCAGTTGGTTTAACAGACATATATGTGTATTATCGGGTATGCGCGTAATTCACTCGACTATGCCGAAAATTACGAGTTATACAACCTGGTATAACTTTATGTGCTACTTTGTTTTTGATATATATTTTATATGTGTAAAACACTCATTCACCGACACTTGACGATGCAACGGGTTTTTCAATGCAACTTTTTATATGCATGATTTTACACACAGCGTTACCTTGACTACCGAAGAGAATGACTTACTTTTTCTATTTCTTCCACGCATATCTACACGTTGTTTCGAAGATATGTCGAGCGCATTAGCACATTCAGAATATTTATATCACGAAATAGTTTATTGGTGTGCGTCGCGACGCGCATAATTTACGTATCCATAACGAAGGAAGTTTCTTGTTAATTACACGTCCGCAATTAGCGTGACTGGCTCCGTCCGCCGTTAGTATTTACTTGAAGTAATTATTTATTTTTTATTTCGGTCAAAAGTCATAGCACAGCTCGAATAAAGCGTTCCGTACGTCGTACGTCAGGAAAACTGTCGCGAAGAATCTATATATGTAATAGGGATAAAGGGAAGTTCCGAAGACGAAGGATTTGCGAAATCCACGGGAAATTTCGCGCGGCTGACACGTCTTTTTGACGTTTCTCGCAGTAGTTTGCGAAACTGTATAGTTTTCCCGATGAGCGTGCGCGCCTAACGAGAACACCTCATTTTATCGTATCGTCCGAGCGATCAGTCTCAGGTGCTACCGAGATTTATTCGCATTTATTATAATTACGAGCTCATAACTGATAAGCAGCGGCGCTGTGCCGACATTATGGACAAAAAGAAAATTAATTCGTGCCAAAGTGATCCCGATTATAAGGGGATGAACGATGTTCTGTGGAAGAGAGATGCGCGAGGGGTGTAAGCTGCTTCGGATATGAAATGTACGATCAGATTTATTCGTTTGCGAAAAATCGCGCAACTCGATTCTTTACATTCTAAACCGAACCTTTGGTTTTTATTTATCCAATCTACAAACAGAGAGAGAAAAAATACTTTGTGTACTAAAAGCATTATTCTCAAAACTAATATAATTTTAGTTTCAGTTGCATCACTTTTAAATCATTTTTTTTTTTTTTTTTTTTTAAGAATCCTTTTAGATTTCTTTTCTTCTTACGAAAATCGCAAATTTCATAAAAATTCGCAAACCCAGGGATTTCGATCTGATCGTCTGTTTCTGTGTTCGATGTGAGCGTGAACTAGTTGTTACAATCTTTTAACTGTTGAATTTTTGCTGTAGCAGTAAGTGTCTTAACGTATACCTTATATAAACTACACGATATATAATATATTCTATATTAATGTTTCTTAGATTTAAATCTAACATACCGGACGGACGTGTCTACGACGAATGCCGTTGTTCGCGCTCTCTTAAGTGCGAGTTGAAGTGCTCTCCTCAAAGTTCATTGTCGGAATCTGCGAAACAAAGCAAACGTTTACGTCATCGCGAGATCTTATCAACGGCGTCGAAAGAATAAAGAATGAGAGGGTCAAGTGTTTCAATGCAAAGCTATTAACCCCTCGATGACAATGCGGTTGCTTGGAACTGGTGGCATTTATCGAAAGTAATACATTCCAAACGGAGCTTCGCAGTATTTTTATTTCTATTCGTAAGTGATTATAGTTACCGTATTATTCCTGTTATAAAAGAAAAACTAAACAATACTGAAATATATATCGTAAAATGATTGGGCATTAATAGGCTTTTTTATCCGGTACAAAAGTTGCGAGGTGACGAAAAATTCGTCGAGAAACGTCCGGTCGGTCGTCTTAAAAATTAATACAATCTAAATGTGATAATATATTTGCTATTAAATTATGACATAACGATTACATTATAATTAACTAACTACTGCGCGAAAACGTACGAAGAACAAAGAAAAATAAGCAATTTTAAGAGTCCATGTACTGAAGGATGGTGGCGTTACGAGGGTGATTTGAATATTCGCATTATGACATTTTTTCTGCAATATATTGATCGGCTGAGCAAGTACAAAGCGATTAGAAAATCGACGTTGTCGAAATCTGATCGGAATTAATACGAAAAATAGATGTGTAATTTTTATAGATTAATTCTTTGCGCTAATTCAAACTTCCGCTATAATTCATTTTTAATATCGTAATACTTCTCATATCAAAGTTAAGTTTTAGTTAAGTTACACGTTGTTTTACAAACAACAGAGACTAAACGATATTTTATATTAAATCAAGAGCATTCACAATTATATAAATCAAGAAAAAAAATATAACTAAAATATTTACATTTATATTTTTATAAATTATATATATCACAGTTTGATTTACACTTACAGCCTAGTATTATTGATTTTTATTTACGGATTTTTAATTAATTTTCCAATTTTACTTTTCTTTAAATGTCGTTCAAGCGCAAAGAATTAAAACAGAAAGAAATCACGTCACCCTTGCTGACTCTGGCAGGAATTCGAATAAAAGTGCGAAGCCACGTTTTGCTTACCAAAAGATAAAGACTCTTGCGCTCTACGCATAATATATACACACAAATATATAATTATATAAATGTACGTGTATGTGTGTGAGTGTGCCTAAAGATTTTTTCCTCGAATTAATCTCTTAAACTTTCTATGTCATTGTCTTTCTCTCTCTCACTCTCTCTCTCTGTCTCTTTATCCTATGCTCTTGAATCATATTGCAGTCATGAACGATCTCGAAGAACTATTATTGTAGTTTGACGGTTTCGAATTACATGGCAGATTCACGACGCCTCGTCGCCATAACCGAATTAATTATTAAAATCTTATTACAATATATACATAATATTAATTTTTAATTGGATACGCTTTGCCTATGCTAAGACTGTAATAATCTGTAATATTACAGATTTGAAAGCTATATTTCATGAATTTGATAACTTAAAAATTTGCTATTATTTTCTCCACATAAATATATTTATCAATATAATTAGGATTTTTAATAGAAATCAAATATTTTTTTATTTATAAAATAGATTGGTACGGGGTGTCAAAAAGCTATTATTAATTTGGATAAAAGCGAAGAGAGGAGGATTGTGAGTCATTTATTTCAGCCCTTATCCGATAAATTTTGCAAAACGTTGGTTTCTATGATCTGTCTGTCAATTAAAAACGTTCAATTATAAAAAAAAAAATGTATTTTTGTTGTACATGGACCAATTCCGTATTACAAAAATAAGCGAGAAATCAC